TACTTAATTTTGTGGTACGAATTTTCCTAAGATGTGCATATATATGTATTTGCAAATAAAAAAATGAATAAACACCAAGAGGAAGTATATGTTGTTTATTAAATAGGTAGTCTTTAAGTTTTACCGTAGCTTCAGTACACTTGTAAGCTAAACAGACAAGTACAATTAAATCCCGTAATGTTTTCTCGTTTCCTTTCACAGTTCTGGATAGGAAGAAAAATACACCATTTTAAACAGCTAAGTAACAGAAGGAAAAAAAGTTTATCTAACCAGGGGTAAAATCTGGAATATTTTACGCATATATATATATATATATAACTAGGCAAATACCTTCCCCTAAATTTTTAAAAGCTATTTCTTCTTATTCAAAGACCTATTTGGATATACAGGTGTGAGTTGCTTGTGTTAGGCAAAATCCATTTCAAAAGCCACATATTTACGTAAATCCCGTTAATACTTTTAATCCATATATTTCTCTAAGAAAATTATTCTAGAATGCACCGAGCTGCAAGACTATATAAAAACATCATCAACAACAACAACAGATAACGTAATATTACCCTGTATTGTTGATGGCTTTAAATTCGTTCTTGCCGCGAGCAATTTAATTTCTTTGCTGAAACCTCTCCCAGATTCTCGTCGTTTTCCACCTCATTATTCTGCACCACACATGCGCACGGTGCTTTCAACATACATTTATGTATGTATTATGTGCGTGGCTTCAGTATTTCTAATTCCTGTTTCAATAAGAATAAACGCAATTTTCTAAGCAGGTAGACTATTGTTCAGTAAATAAGGTACCCTATAGCCATCGGATCAAGCTATCGCAGTAGTGCCCGGGGGAGACCCCTGGCCCTGTATTTACTTGGCGCCAGAAATCCTTGACGGATTCTGGGTACGAAACAACATTGGAGCCTTGGAGGAACTAGTTATTTTTAGTAATGATAACTGTGTAGGAGTTACCGTATTTTACAGCGCCTCGCGTGTCGTTTGTTGGAATGAACTCATCAGTTAAATAATAAAGAAAGGTGTGTTTTAGACAGAATGGGTAGTCGACATCCGTAATCTGACATTAAGTGGCCTAGAATTCTAACTTTTTTTTTTTTTTAATCTCGGGAATGATTTACCTGAAATTCGGTAAAACTCGCTCTGGCTCTCGGAATTCAAATCAGAAATAATTGATGTTTGACCTCCATATTCCCATCCCACAGAGCGAACACTGTTATGGCTGTAACTCTCCTGTTAGATCAGGAACTGGTCAGTAGGTTATTAGGCTGCCCAACTTTAGGAAGTGAAACATACGATTTTTGACCAAGAAAAGGCAGCTGATTGGATTAGGTAACGAAAACTTCTGTATACGTGTGTGTGTTGTTAGTTTTCGAACTGATGAACTAATTATTTGGCCTTTGTGGTAGTTCAAAGCCCAAAATTCATTCGCAGAAATTATGAAATTTGTAAAGACACAAATTATTTGCCATTTTGATATTCTTAGAAATATTCAGTTTTGTGTACGTGATTTTAGTTTGATTTTAAATATATTTATTTGTGATTAGTAATGTAGTTTTTTTTTGCTTGTTATTCAGTTGGAAATTTAGCTAAACCTTTTTGTTGCGAACCAAACTCACATAGAAAACCCAAATTTTTATGGATTCAGATTAAAAACCTATTCTATCTGTTTTATATCTTAACAGCACAGTACCTATTGTAAAAAATAACAATCTTGGGACAAAGGAATCATTGGTAGTGCATGAAGCAAAACTAATTATTAGGTGTTTCCTAAGTAAAGTTATATTAATTATTAGGTGTTTCCTAAGTAAAGTCATATTAATTATTAGGTGTTTCTTAAGTAAATTTATATTAATTATTAGGTGTTTCCTAAGTAAAGGCCCCCAGTGGCACAGCGGTATGTCTGCGGACTTACAACGCTAGAAACCGGGTTTCGATACCCGTGGTGGGCAGAGCACAGATAGCCCTTGTGTAGCTTTGTGCATAATTAAAAACAAACAAACCTAAGTAAAGTTATATTAATTATTAGGTGTTTCCTAAGTAAAGTTATATTAATTATTAGGTGTTTCCTAAGTAAATTTATATTAATTATTAGGTGTTTCCTAAGTAAATTCGCATTAATTATTAGGTATTTCCTAAGTAAAGTTATATTAATTATTAGGTGTTTCCTAAGTAAAGTTATATTAATTATTAGGTGTTTCCTAAGTAAAGTATATTAATTATTAGGTGTTTCCTAAGTAAAGTTATATTAATTATCAGGTGTTTCCTAAGTAAAGGTATATTTCATTCTTTCTTGAAAGTTTCTTGAACAGTATTGGTTAAAGTGTTTTGTGAAAACTTTATTTTTATTAGGATGATTATTTTGCATTGCTAGCTTAGAATATGGATTTAAAATAAACCTATATCTCCAAAGCTGGCTGAACCTTGTGAGGTATTATTGGAATTACGTACTTCTAGCTAGACCGGTATATTAAGTTAGCTACATTATTTGCTAGGTTACCTTTTTTGTTCTGGTATATGTTTTGGTCAGAAGTTAAAGATAATATAACTACATCTATAGTTTTGTGCAAAAAGATAATGATGATACTCAGTACTGCCACTAAAACCAATTGCTAGTATTCTGTACCGTCTGAATTAGGCCTATAATATTAATAGTATCATAATTGTTATCATACCAGGTGCACCTCAGTCTTACTGTGTTATCATACCATCGTGAACTAAAAACATAACATTAGGTGCACCTCAATCTTACTAGGTTATTATACCATCATGAACTAAAAACATCACGTCAGGTGCACCTCAATCTTATTAGATTATCATACCATCGTGAACTAAAAACATCACACCAGGTGCACCTCAGTCTTACTATGTTATCATACCATCGTGAACTAAAAACATAACATCAGGTGCACCTCAATCTTATTAGATTATTATATCATCGTGAACTAAAAACATCCATCAGGTGCTTCTCAATCTTACAAGGTTATTATACCATCATGAACTAAAAACATAACATCAGGTTAACCTCAATCTTACTAGGTTATTATACCATCATGAACTAAAAACATCACGTCAGGTGCACCTCAATAGTATTAGATTATCATACCATCGTGAACTAAAAACATCACACCAGGTGCACCTCAATCTTACTAGGTTATCATACCATCGTGAACTAAAAACATCACATTAGGTGCACCTCAATCTTACTAGGTTATTACACCATCGTGAACTAAAACATCACATCAGGTGCACCTCAATCTTACTAGGTTATCATACCATCGTGAACTAAAACATCACATCAGGTGCTCCTCAATCTTGCTATGTTATCATACCATCGTGAACTAAAAACATCAAATCAGGTGCACCTCAATCTTACAATATTATCATACTAGTGTGAACTAAAAACATTTCATCAGGTACACCTCAATCTTACAATATTATCATACTAGTGTGAACTAAAAACATTACATCAGCTGCAGAACCTTGTTACATTGGAAACTGCGGCGGTGAGTAATCATGGTAATCACACTGAGCAGGATCGAAGACGAAGCAACTGTCCTGGTGGTTAGGGCGCTCGATTCGCACTTTGCAGATCGTCACCAAACATGCTCGCCCTTTCAGCCGTGGAGGCATCATAATGTTACGGTCAATCCCACTATTCGTTGGTAAAAGAGTAGCCCAAAAGTTGGCGGTGGATGGTGTTCACTAGCTATCTTCCCTTTAGTCTATCACTGCCAAATTAGGAACGAATAGCTCAAATAGCTCTTGAGTAGCTTTGAGTGAATTTCAAAGAGAAACAAACAAAGACGAAGGGAGCAGTTCCAAAGACAGACGTGACATAAAACATCATTATTATAAACTCATTATTTCATTTCTGTAGTCCATATTGGTGTATAGAAGACATATTAATACTAGAAATAAAGGAAATTATAGCACTAAAATGTGGTTATTATTTAATTAGACAACCAAAGTTTCGCTTTACAGCTTCTTCAGGAGCGTTCACTAAAACACAAACCAAAGCTGACAGCACAAAATATTGATCGTTATTATAAGGTGTGATTAACTCTCTATAAATATAAATCAATTCTATCATCTGTGGCCCGGCATGGCCAGGTGGTTAGGGGGCGCTCGACTCGCAATCTGTGGGTCGCGGGTTCGAATCTCCCTCACACACCAAACATGCTCGCCCTTTCAGCCGTGGGGGCGTTATAACGTGACGGTCAGT